ATTGAGGTCCTTTATCCATTTGGAGTTCAGTTTAGAGCACAGTGAGAGACAGCGATCTAGTTCCATTCCTCTACATTCAGTTATCCAGGTGGACCGACATTTGTAGAGCATGCTGCCTTTTCCCCAGTGTGTATGTGCTGGATAGCTTTAGTGTCAACTTGACACACCTGGGTTGAGGGAGCCTCAGCTGGGGAATTTCCTCTATTGGACTGGCCTGTGGCCATGTCTGAAGGGCATCTTCTTGATGAGTGATGTGGGAGGGCCCAGCCCACTGTGGGTGGTGCCACCCCTGGGCAGGTGGGCCTGTGTTGCATAAGAAAGCAGGCTGAGCAGGGGCCAGGGGAGCAAGCCTGTAAGCAGCGTTCTTCCATGGCCTGTGCTCCAGCTCCTGCCCTGAGTTCCTACCTTGGGCTCCCTGATGAACTGCGTGCAACCTGGGAGATGTAAGACAAATAAACCCTTTCCTCCCCAAGTTGGTACTGGTCAGAGTGTTTTGTCACAGCAATGAAGAACGAACTAAGACAGGAGGCATACAAATTTTAGGAGCAGATAAAGTATTTCTACCAAAAGCGTGTCTGAAAAGCACAAGGTCATAAATGGGAAAGCTACTATATACAGTAGGGAAGGAGAGCAACCTGATTTGATCGTCATTATTATACATGAATCAGTATACAGTCTTTAAAGAAAAGTGAAAGCACGCCGGGAGTGGTGGCATGTGCCTTTAATCTCAGCCCACGGGAGCCCAGGGCAGCCCGCTCTCTGGGCGATCAAGGCCAGTCTGGTCCACTTGGTGACTTCCAGGCAGTCTGGAACTAGGGAGAGCATGTAAAATAAATAAAAATAAATAAATAAAGTAAATAGAAAAATCATGAGCTTTAAATAAAGACTGTTTATTTCTATTTGTAAAGTTTATTTCGTTATTACTGCAAATTTGAGTGTGACTCACATGCCTTAGGGTTTTGTTCTTAAAATGGACTGCCACCTGCGCACAGAACTTTGTCCTTCCCAGGCAGTGTCACAGTAACTCTCGCGTGGAGTGTACAGTGAACCATTCTACCACATGTAGTGCAGTTGCTTCAGGGCTACAGGCAACACAGTGAACACAGTGTTTTCTTTTTATTTTTTGTGTCTAATTTTAAGTTATAAATCACAAAAAAACTGTGTATTCTGGAAATTTCACGTCTGTCACCATGCCCTGGGCCTTCCCTCATGCCTCTCCCTTCTCCATTTGTCATTTAGGTTTTTTTCTAGGATCTCATGGCATTATTCCACAAACCCAAGCAGAGCTGAAACTACAAAATCTCCACAAATGACAGTGCTCTGTGCACATTGGTCAGTTCCTTGCTTTGTCTGCCTCCAAATAGCTGCCTTTGCCTGCTGGGATCAGGTAGACGCTCAGTGGTTTACTTCAGGTGTGGTGCAGAGATTGGGCACTAGAAGGAGCAGGACACTCACTCTCAGGAAGGGGCGCTCCAGGTCACTGATTTTTTTCCCTCCTCTGCTGATGCTGGACACATGGGATTTTCCTTCTCAGGGTAGCAGCCAGCAGTAGCTTTTCCTGTGCCCTCCAGCCAGCCAAGGAAAGCGTTTGATTGGGAACAGCTACCACTGGGAACAGGGGCGTGCGTGGAAATGAAGGAGAGAGATTCCAGGCAGATGAACATCATTAAATAATTTTAAAAATATATTTTATTTATTGTTTTTATTTTATATGTATGACTGTATTTCCTGTATGTGTGTGAGTGCACCCATGTTGTGAAATGCTTCAGAGGTCAGAAGAGGGCATTGGAGTCCCTGGAACTGGAGTTAAGGAAGATTCATAGCTGCCATGTAGGTGCTGGGAATGGAACTCAGGTCCTCCGTAAGAACAGTCAGTGCTCTTAACCACTAAGCCATCTCTCCAGCCTCTCATTAAATAATTTTAAAAAGAAGTGGTAAAAGTTGAGAAGAGAGAATACATCATAATGACAAATTCCACTAAGCACTGACTCTAGAATATATTTTGCAGGGAAACTGATGGCTTTTACTGCAACAAATGTGCAAGAAATTTTTCATCAGGACAGGACAGAAAAGAACAGAACACCCAGATACAGACCCAGCCACCTGACTGCTCACAGACATGATCAAAAGACACACTGCAGAAACAAATTCAGCAAATTGTGTTGATAGCCACATGTAGAAGAATGAAACTAGCTTCCTATTAACATGCACAAAAGCAAATTAAAAATCAACTGAAGACCTTCATGTAAACTCCGAAACTCTGAAACTGTTAGAAGGAAAATATTTCAACGTACTGGTATAGGCTAGTCCTCCTTGGTTACTTCCCTAAAGAACTCCAGGGGTGCAGCTGACATGCTGTGATTTGCCCAGAGCCCTGTCCTTCCTCTTCTGTCTGGCTTGGTTACCTCATACTGAGCTACAAGCCTCTTCCATCTTCCCCAATACTCCTGATTCTGTACCTTAACCTTTCATCTTCCTTTCAGCTCCACCCTTAGTTATCACTGAAACATCAATGAACAACTTACAGTCATGACCATGGGCCCTTTCCCCTCACTGCTCACAGAGACTTAACTCCCGCCTCAGTGTGACTCAGTTGTATCACTCCTGGGTATTCATCCAAAAGACTCCTAACCAGCATATCACAGAAATACTTGCACATCAGTGTCTACTGCAGCACTACTCACAACAGCTAACTTATGAAAACAGCCTGGATATCCCACAACAGAGCAGCTAATGGAGAAAATATGGTTTGTATATGCAATGAACCATAAACAAGAATGAACATACACATTTCCAAGAAAATGGATGCAACTCAGATAATCTATGAAGGGAATCAAGTCAGTCTCAAAAAAACAAGTATCGCATGTGTGGTTCATATATTTTCTGGAGCGATATGTAAAAATGTGTGTTCATATGACATGGAAGTAGAAGTCAAACTGTCTAGAGGAAAACTAAGAGAGGCAAGAAAAGGGAGGATCACAGTGTATGCTTGACATACAGTATATCTTGTATGAAAACTATGTGTACGTATATATTATACATAAACTTGTGGGCTAGCAAGATGACTGGCTCAGTGGGCGAAATCACTTGCTATGCAAGTCTGGTGACCTGAATTCAATTCCACCCATGGTGGAAGAGGACACCTGAAAATTGTCTTTTACAATTTCCACATGGGCTGCCATGACATATATGTACACTCACACATACAGAGTGATAATAAATAATTTTTTTAATTAATAAGCATTTTCAAGGTGGAGGCACAAGCACCAGAAGTTCAAGGCAAGCCTCCCAACCTCCATCTGCCTCCAAAAGACCCAGAAGTCATCCTGCACAACATGAGATACTTTAAGAAAAAGTTAACGTATCCCTATTACAGTGTTACATACTACAAAGCAGAAACATCTTTATTTATTTATTTATTTATTTTAAAAAATATTTTATTTGTTATTTTTATTTTATGTGTATGCGTGTATTGTACCTGCATGTATGTAGTTGCACCTTTGTTGTGCAATGCCCACAGGGGTCAGAAGAGGGCATCTGATTCCCATGGAACTGGAGTTACAGATGGTTGCTAGCCACCATGTGCTGGGAACTGAACCTGGGTCTTCTGTAAGAGCAGACAGTGCTCTTAACTGCTGAGCCATCTCTCCGCCCCTTGGTTGTTTTTTTCTTTTTTATGTTTTTCTTTTTCTTCTTTACTGGGAATTTTTTCCTTAAACAATTTCTTTTTCTAATCCCT